CTCTGGATTATTGTTACTATAAAATATATGATTTACGCTTTTTTAATTTTACTGGTTTTATCTAAAACTGTTTCATTGGGGTATTGTCTGGGTAGGTGTCTGGAGACTCTGAGGTTCAGTTAGCTGGTAATTCTTTTATGTTCTGATCTTTCATATTGGACTCCTAGATCCTAGAGGTCTAGGGTAAGTCTTTATGAATGTCTGTTCTGGGATTTGCATTTGGTGTACGGTTGGAGGGTAACTCTGTGTTTTAAATAAAAACCTAGTTTCTGATTTTTATTTTCTGATATATAATATATTTGGCTTCCGATCTCTTATATTATTGGTTACTATTAAACTAATTTATAGTGGGGTATTGATTGGGTAGGATAGAGTCTCTGAGGTTCAACTAGCTAGTAATTCCTTTATGTTTGATCTTCTATATTAGACTCCTAGATCTAAGGGGTCTAGGGTAAGTCTTTATGGATGTCTTTTTAGTGGTATTTCATATGGTGTACAGGTGGAGGGTACTACAATGATTTTAAAAAATTGTTTTACTGAAACAAATTACTACAATTTTAAAACTATGATTTCATTTATTCTGGTTTTGAGGGAACACACTAGACGTCTGTTTCAATCTTCTGAACATGATCCTCTGAACGTTTTCATGAACCATAAACTTCCTACTATTACCTGAAGAAATATCAGTGGAACTTAAACTCATCACGAAATCCTGTAGATGTTTGAATCAAAATGAAAGTTTTATTATTTTTCATTTATCGACATGTCCTTAAGCATCTTTTGGTAATATTGTATTACTGAGCATCCCAAAGCTTACTCTTTTACTCACCATTATAGGTTAAAGGAATCGATTCAATGCAACTATTGACATCAATAATGAGAGTTCCTTCAGCGTTGCTTGTAGAGTACGATACTTGTATAATTAGGGGAATGTGGGTCATATTTTGTTTGTATATAAGAGTCAGTGGTTTGTTTTGATTTCTATCATGTTAGTGAATTTTGTTTTAATGTCTGAATGTCTTCTGGATTTTTGTAATTATTCTGACATGGTTTTACGGCTTTTAAATTATGTTTGGTAAAATTTTAATTTTTTCTCAATTTTTTTGGCGGGTCACTCCGGTGGCCCTAATATGATACATCGAATCAGATCGGGCCACCCTCATCAATCTGAGGGATTACAAAGATACTAATAAATTCAAATACATGTATATTCAATCATACTGATATGATAAAGATACTATTCGATATATTTACTATTAATTAAAAATAGAGTTAATTGCATCGTATGTTCTCAAACTATGATCCTCATTTTAAATTAGTCCCTAAAATTTTGAATATTCTAATTTCATCATCAAACTAATATACTCATTTTAAACTAGTCCTTAAACTTTTGAACATTCTAATTTCATCCTCAAACTACAACCCTTATTCTAAATTGGTCCCTAAACTTTTAAATATTTCAATTTCATTCTCAAATTTATTCAAATATATAATTAATTTTAACCATAATTTAACTTAAACTTTATTTTTTTCAAACATATAATAATATAATTTAACCTAACGATTTTATTAACATGGAATGTGATCAGTATATACATATAAATTGGGATGAAATTGAAAATGTTGAAAATGTTTGGGACTAATTTAGAATGAAGGATATAGTTTGGGGATGAAACTAAGATGTTCAAAAGTTTCAGGACTAATTTAGAATGATAGTCATAGTTTAAGGATAAAATTAGAACATTTAGAGACCAATATAGAATGAGAATCATAGTTTGAGGACGTATGATGCAATTAACTCTTAAAAATATATCTATAATTATCAACAATTAATTGGTTTATTGGAATGATGTATTAAATTCTTTAAATATGATTAAGGGTTTGAATTTTGACGTTATGAATGGAACAAACTAGTTTGGGATTGTTGCCCTCACAACGTACCTATACAATACTGAATTAGGATTAGTCGATTAATAGATCAAATACGGTCGGTTATATAAAAAATATGTCTATATTTAAACAAAAGAAATAGGGGAAGCTTAAGAATTAATTAAAGTATAGGATAATCCAAATATTAAATCCAAAACCAAGGACGGCAGACTCAGTTTCAGCTTCATATGTTTGTCCCAACATAAAAGATTGAATAGAAAATTCATTTGATACAGAAAAGTGGTGTAGTCATTATATGTCATGAAACAATAAATGTGAATACTTTATGTCTGCTACATATGGTAGAGGTATTAGATCGGGAAGAGGAGAAAAAAATAGAGTTGAAATGAAGATGAAGGGATGTGGAGTGATACTGTTTCCTATGCCATTTCAAGGGCATCTAAACCCCATGCTTCAGCTTGCAAGCATCCTCCATGAAAGAGGCTTTTCCATTTCCATAATCCACACTCACTTCAACTCCCCAAACCCTGCAAACTACCCTCATTTCGGATTCTACCCTATTCCCGATGGATTACCCGAAAACTACGTAATTTCATCGGATCCTAATCTTATGGTCTCCTTTATAAAGCTCATCAATTCCAGTTGCCAAATTCCTCTCCGTGATTGCTTGGCCAAGTTGATGTCGACAGGCTCGGAAGACGAAGATCCCGTGGCCTGCTTTGTTTCTGATGTTTTGTGGTACAACACACAAGCTGTCGCTGATGAGCTTAGGCTTCCGAGGATTGCTTTAAGGACAAGTAATGTCTTGTCTTTTCTTGTTTTGGCGTCCATGCCATCGCTGTTCCAAAAGGGTTACCTTCCACTGCAAGGTATTCATCACTTGTAGCTTTTTTTTATAAGTAATTTATCTCCATATACCTTAATACTGATCATTATTGCTTGACAGATTCTGAAGCAGAAATGGAAGTCCCGGAGCTTCCACAATTCAAACTCAAAGACATTTCAATGTTTAAAGCAACTGATCCGGGAAGCTTTCTCGAATTCATGGATATGGTAGTTCAAGAAACCAAGGCCTCTTCGGGGATTATATATAACTCCTGTGAAGATCTTGAAGAAGAATATCTAAAGAAATTTTCTTTGTCCTTTCCAATCCCAACTTTTCTCATAGGTCCTTTCCACAAGTATTTTCCAGCTTCTTCCAGTAGCTTGTTGCCTCAAGACATGACCTGCGTATCATGGCTAGACAAACAACAACCTAAATCGGTGATTTATGTCAGCTTCGGAAGCGTGGCGGCTATAACCGAGATGGACTTCTTGGAGGTGGCTTGGGGACTGGCCAACAGCAAGCAGCCATTCTTGTGGGTGGTTCGACCCGGGTTAGTCCAGGGTGCCGAATGGCTTGAACCATTGCCAAATGGGTTCCCAGAAATGGTAGGTGAAAGAGGTCAAATAGTGAAATGGGCTCCCCAACAGGAAGTCCTGGTTCACCCTGCAACGGGAGCGTTTTGGACACACTGTGGATGGAATTCAACCCTGGAGAGCTTATGTGAAGGGGTTCCCATGATCTGTCAGCCATCTTTTGGTGACTAGAGGGTAGATGCAAGATTGGTAAGCCATGTATGGAGGGTTGGGATTCATTTGGAATCTGAGATCGAGAGAGGGGAGATCGAGAAGGCGATCAGGAGATTAATGGTTGAAGTTGAGGGACAGGAAATGAGAGACAGGATCAAGTTATTGAAAGACAAGATGAATCTTTGTCTAAAACCAGGAGGTTCATCTTACAAGTCTTTGGACAATTTAGTTAATCACATTCTTTCTTTGTCGTCCGTTAAATCACTTGAGTAAGATTTTAATGTTCTAATTTATGTTGAATAAAATTCTTGACCCACATATTATTAGGATTGGAATTATCATGTTTATGCTTTCTTTGTATCATTTTCCACTTATTAGAGAAAATATTTTATGAACTCTCACCACGCAAGATATAGACCCAACCAATAAAATTAAAATATTTCAGTAACTTTTTTTAAATCATCATTAACTTTAGGTTTAATTTTAAATTGTTTGTTTTTTTCATATCCAAATTAAATCTCAATCTCTTAACCCTCCCCTCCCCTCTGTTGACCATAATCACCATTGCCACCATCACTTTTCATTTTTCCCTTGGTTAACCAACTCCTAATTCTGCTCGGGCAACACATCAAGGAACTTGGAGCAGCCATGCGGCAATGCAACAAAGGAGAGCGTCGTTTCATATTTCAAATCGAAAACCACCAGTTCCCTCGGGAACGTCAAGTAAATGACGTGTTTCCAGTGCGGCGAAAACGCCAAACTCGCTGCATATAGCGGGAAAACAGCAGAAGCCGGAGTAGATGTGGAATTTTCAGCTTTAACAGCATCTGTTTTTAGCTTGCTTTACAATCAGTTCGAATCAAAAGCTCCTTAAGGGAAATATCTTCTGTTTCTCCCAACACTTTGATCGAAAGAAGAAATCCTTTTAGCCCGATGATAAATAAATGGAGGGAATCCAAAGGATCACGCCGGATACACGACAGATGTTCCGACAAAACATCGTACTTGAAGCTGAACCGATAAGTAAAAGTGTTGAAGAAAGAGACATGAGAAGGCCCGATAGAGCAGCGAGGAGGAAAGAGTCGGGTCGCGCATGGGATAGCCCATTTAGACGAATGATCGGGAGGATCGATGGAAAATATGATAGAGTGGTGATTATGGTTAAAGAAGAAGAATGCAAATTGATCGTGACTACGATGATTATGGTTAACGAATAGAGGGGGAGAAGAAAGTCAAGAGGTTGAACAAGATATGTAGATTTAGTTCTATATGGAAAAAAAAAATTAAAAACTAAATCTAAATTTAATGATGATTAAAAAAATGTTGACATGTTTTAATTATGTGGTGAGAAAGATTCATAAAATATTTCTATATTAGGTTGATTGTGACGTGTCACGAAATATAGTTGATTGATTTATACGGACGAGAGTATCATTTTAATATTTTAATAGTTTATCAAGTTGAGAAAATACTCAAAAAGAGAGTGGCTATTGAAAGGTGCCATCTTCGGAAGTTGATTTTTGGTGATGAAGTAGCAAAGTCAGGGATTTGTGTTTCATTCTTGAATTCTAGGGTTGAAACCATGAGATATTGTGGTAATTCAAGAATTATTTTGTTGGTCATGAACTACATGGGCTTAAACAAACTGGGGTTTGGCCCTTAAGAGCTTGGGCTTGTACCCGGTCTCCAACATCTTCTCAACCTCCTCAATGTGTAGCCCTTTGGTTTCAGGCACAAGCCTATAAATGAAACTAAACCCAACGATGCAAAACCCAGCAAACAAGAAGAAAGTGCCAGCCGAACCTAGAGCTTTGGTCAGGCTCAAGAACGTCAAACTAACAAGCAGATTGGAAATCCAGTTTAAAACAGCAGCCAAACCCCCGCCAACACCTCTGTACCTCAGTGGATAAATCTCCGAGTTCACTATCCATGGGACAGTCCCCATTCCTGGTGAATACGAAAGGATGTAAAGTCCTAGGAAAACAACCGCCAGGAACCCGAATTCACTCGGACAACCGTCTTTGAACCATGTCCGATGTTGTCCGCGGCATAAATCTCTTTGTTTCCTGGTCAGTTCCATGTATGATCCTGGCGAGTACTGAGCAATGATCGATGTCAATCAGACAAGTTTTGTTACATTGTTTAATAGCAATTGAAATAGAAAGTTACAATGTATATATGCTTGCCTTATTGGCCGCATTCGAGCAGAATCCACAACTGGCTTTCAAGCAAGACATGCAGTTCCATGGTGAGGGTTTAGGTGCTGATATATAGCTAGGACATGTACCATTGGGAATGAAATTGCTGTCAAACTGGCTGATTTTCGGAGCATGATTGGCAGATTCGAGGAATATAATCGATAAGGACAGGAGACAAAGGATGATACCGGCCATGGAAACAAGCATCAACCTTCTCCTGCCATATCTGTCGACTAAAGCCATGCTGACGATCGAGCCAACGGCATTAAGACCAGATGTGATGAGAGAAAGCGCCAACGCTGTCTGGTTTGAAGCAAATCCTGCAAACTGAACAATTGTTGGGCTGTAATACATAACAGTGTTGATTCCTGAGAACTGCTGAGCCACTTGAACCGTTATACCAGCATAGAGTCCCCTTCGGACTACAACGTTGCTCAAAGCACCCTTCAGTTTTTGTATTAGATTGTCGCCAATGGCGTGCCCATCGGCTTTTTCTGCTTCGACAGAGAGTCTCAAGGCATTCATCTCGTCATCGGCTTCATTAGCAGGAAATATTTTCTCTAGGATGGACCTGGCCTCTCCTACCTTGTTCTGAACACTAACAAATTGTTATAAATTTAATCGAAACATAGCAACAACGCATAGACTAGAGCAACGTTTTAACCTGTCTGTAAAGCCATCTGGGGGACTCGGGAAGCGATAGCATCAAGAACAATTGAACGAATGCCGGAACCGCTGCAACTCCAAGCATCCAACGCCAAGTCCATCTTGTCTGAAACACAATTGTTCAAGGAAAGATTGCATAGGGTCTATCAAACATTCGATCTTAAAATGATAATTTTCGAGTTTAGAGACTATAACTTTTACCTTAGTGAAGGCCAGATTGATAAGGTAAGACAGAAACTGGCCTCCTGTAATGAGCAAACCATTTGTACTAACTAGTGCACCTCGAATTCGAGCAGGGGAAGCCTCGGAAATATAAAGAGGTGAGGTCATTGAAGCCATTCCGACTCCCAGACCAACAAAAACCCTTCCAAGAATAATCATCCATGGAGCTGGAGCAAATGCCATAACTAGGGCAGCTGCAGCAAACAGTCCATCAGCAAGCAAAATCGATTTTTTCCTGCCAAACCTATCGCTTATCCATCCTCCGATCGCAGCACCACCGATAGCACCGGCTACAGCCATACTCACTATGAGTTCCTGAAAATCAACACATCATAAACCACTCAACCAGCAATTGTAATGAACTCTTTATACTTTTTTTTTTTCCTTCCGTGAAGTGAGGCAATGAAGAGTATGTAACCTGTAACCATGTCTTCCGGTCGACTTGTCGGAAATCGTCACGGATATAAAGCAAGGCACCCGAAATCACTCCTGTAATTCAACAAAGTAAGCAAACTAAACCAACATTTATTATGCATCCTGTAGATAGGGGGGAAAAGGACGTAATTTTACCTGTGTCATAACCAAACAAGAGGCCTCCGATACCAGCGGACAATGCAAGCCTAAGAATGTAAGGAGTCTTCCATGTTGTTTTCCAACACTCATTGAACTCTGTCTTGTCTGGTTTTGATATATTACCCCCTTCCACCATTATTTCCTTTTCACAATTCCAGCAAACCAGAAAGTTCCTCTGTCGTGAAAGTTGATAATGTGTTCAAATCGACAATGAAAAACCTTGAATGGATTTCGTGTAAATCAAAGAAACAAATATTTTCTGGGGCTAATGTGTATGGAACTCTGCTTTGGGGGAAAAAACTTGATTAATAGAAGCAAATCGAGAATGGTTGAAACACCAGTTTCATTTGCTTGGCAACGATTTTCTGGGGCTAATGGATATGATTGAATTCCAGGCTTCGTGATCATATATATATATATATATATATATATATGTAATTAAAGGAAACAGTGTATTTGCAGTTAGTGTTTCGAGTGGACAAAATTGTGTAAACTAAACCATACTTGGAAATTGGTTCATTAACCAAACCAGACTTGGAAAGTGGTTCGTTTAAAGCTCTAAAAAATTGTGTAGAATTAGAACTTTTCCCATTCGAAAAGAAAATTAGTTTGGATATGTTCCTCCCAATATCTCAAAAGCAAATATATCTTCTTTTTTTAAATTATCTGTTATTCTCTAACAATATGCCTCATCATAGTTTGAAGGTCCAGCGACTGTTTCAAACAAAAGGTTTCATGAAGAATCCGGTTCGTTCATGCAATTACCAGAGACTGCATTCAACAATCCCTCCACAATTCAAATTATATTTTGGATGATGAATCATATTCATAAAACTCAAGTGATTAAGCAATGCAAAAGTTGTATTTGTTTCTCTTAGTGTGGGAAGCATTTATGTTTTTTGTGCTTAAAATGATGGAGCACGATGGAAGAAGAATCAGTCAATGAGATAATTATAGTATTAAGGGAACATAATTATTTTTCACCTCGGGGGTAGTGGAGCAAAGGGAAAGCATGAAAATTCTAGCGTTTTGGATCCTTGCTTTACGACTCTGCTTTGATTGGATACTCTTCCCGCAACACTTGTGTGGCCCGATGCTCAATTATGGGGCTTACAATAATGGCTCTTGTAGAAAACAGTTGTAGGAGGTTATTCTGTTTGTACAGTTAGAAAATTAATTAGTTAGAGACCTAGTTGTTGTATAAATATTAGTTTGTAACTTTAAATATATAGAGAATGATGTATTTTCCAGTATCTCTTGGGTTAATATTTTAACATGATATCAGTCGGTATATTCCTGGGCTCTTGGGTTATTGGGCTTCTTTTACAATAGTCCATCTTCATTCTCGTTTCCGTGAAAAATTTCCCAATTCCAGTTCTTTTTTTTTCTGCGTTTTTCTTGCTTCAATTCCTCTTCACGATGCCTCCACAAGATATTTCAGAGATCGATTTCACACATCCCTTGTATTTGCATCCGTCCGATACATCGGGTGTTGTTCTTGTTTCTCACAAGCTCACTGGCGTTCATGATTATAGCGTTTGGAGTAGGTTTATGCGTATTTCTCTCCTTGCAAAGAACAAATTAGGGTTTATTGATGGGGTTTGTTGTCGGTCTGATTTTGTGGAGCAGCTTCAACCGCAATAGGATCGGTGCAACGCAATTGTGCTTTCTTAGTTAATCATTTCTGTTAGCAATGATCTTTCAACTGGTATTGTTTTCTCTTCTAGTGTTGCTCTTGTGTGGCCTGACTTGAAAGAAAGGTTTGATAAGGTTGATGGTTCTCGGGTTTATTTTCTACACCGAGAAATTGCAACCCTTGTTCAAGGGGATTCTTCAATTTCGTCATATTTCACCAAATTGAAGCTTCTCTGGGATGAATATGGTGCTTTGGTGCCTCTTCCTTCGTGTGATTGTGCTAATGCTCAGTAAAATACCGTTAATTCTCTTCAATAACGTCTTTTCCAATTCTCGATGGGTTTAAATTATTCGTACTCTGTTATGTGTAGTCAAATTCTTCTGATGCATCCATTACCATCTGTTAATCAGGCTTACTCGATGCTGGTTCAAGAAGAGTCTCAGCGATCTCATTCCACTGGTATACCCTCAATCAATGATTCAACTATTTTTTATTCTAATTCTTTTACATCTCCTGACAGTATGGGTCGGCGTTGATTCAATGGCACTTGTGACCATTGTAAGATTAAAGGTCACAAAAAGGAACAATGTTATAGATTGAATGGTTTTGCTGCAGACTTCAAATTCAATCGAAAGAAGGATGCTTCAATTGTTCTTACTGTTCAACTTGAAGATCCTGTCACTACTTCGGCTCCCGTTTTATCTCATGTGTCTTCTGCCCCAGTTTTTACTCAAGAACAGTACAATCAAATTCTGAATTTGTTGCACCAAGCTCTTGCCTCTGAGTCATCTGTTAATCTTATGGGACAAGCTTCAGGTAATGTTTCTTTTATAAATTAGATCTTGGACACTGGTGCTACTAATCATATTACCTTTAAATTCTCTTGTTTGACAAATCCTAGTGCATGTGCTTCAAAGAATCGGTTTATTCATCTCCATAATGGTAAAAAAAGCCCTAATTACTTATATTGGTTCTTACATTCTTAGTAATGATCACATAATTCATGATGTTTTGTTTGTCCCTAAATTCAAAAATAACCTTTTGTCTATCACTAAACTGACCAATAAGCTTCACTGTGTTGTTTTGTTTTATCCTGCATTTGGTATCCTACAGGACATCTCCAATGGAAATATCAAGGGGATTGGAAAGGAACGTGGAGGTCTTTACTTGCTCGAGTCTTCTTTTGCATACTTGGGTTTTAATTCATCTCCTATTGATGTTTCTTCTTTTGCAAATTCCTCTGTTTGTAAACTTGTTGATCATCATTCTCCTACTGTTACTGAAATTTGGCATGCTAGACTTGGGCATGCTGCCATTAATAAAATACACAAGTTGCCTATTCTTCGGTCTGTTAAATTTAATCCTAGTGATGTGCAACATTGTTCAGTCTGTCCTATGGCTCGACAAACACGTTTTCCATTTCCTTTAAGTACCTCTAGAATAGACAATCCTTTTCAATTACTTCATATTGATCTTTGTGGTCCCTATGGAGTTTCTACTCATAGTGAACATCGTTACTTTCTTAATGTTGTTGATGATTTCAGTCGTATGACTTGGGTGTTTTTGTTACGACTCAAAAGTGATGTCGTTATTCATTTAAAAGCCTTGTTTCTGATGATTCAAAATCAGTTCTATACTTCTGTTAAGATAATTCGTAGTGGCAATGGGTCAGAATTCTTCAATTCAGTATGTTCCCCTTTGTTTTCCTCTCTTGGCATAATTCATCAATCTAGTTGTGTTCGTACTCCTCAGCAAAATGGGGTAGTTGAGCGTAAGCATAGGCATTTACTTGAGGTTGCTCGTGCCCTACGTTTTCATTCTAAATTTCCTTTGAAATTTTGGGGTGAATGTGTTCTTGCTGCCTGTTATTTGATAAATAAGTTACCTTCCTCTGTTTTGTCTTGGCTTACTCCTTTTGAATTGTTGTATAAAAAGCCCCCTTCCTTGTCTCATATTCGTGTATTTAGGTTTCTTGCTTATGCAACTCAGACATATTTAACTGATAAATTTGCTTCGAGAGTTATTTATTCTGTGTTTCTTGGCTATTTATCCACTCAAAAAGGCTACCTTTTGTTTGATCTTGAAAAAAGGTTTTCTTTTTCAATCGTGATGTTGTTTTCCAAGAATCTGTTTTTCCTTTTAGTTCCCTCAACAATCTGATTCTTTTTTTCTGCTCAGTCTTATGAGGATGATTCTGAGTTCTTGGTTTTGTCTCAACCTCCTATATCTCCTGGTAATTCTTTGTCACCAGCTTTACCCGAATCATCATATCATTCTGTTATTCCTTTGCGTAAGTCTTCTCGAGTATCTAGACCTCCAACATGGATACAAGATTATGTGTGTTCTAATCGGTCTTCTTCTTCTTTTTCCACTTGTATTTCTTATTATCATTTACCTGTTCATACTCAACATTTTCTTGCTACCACTTCATCCATTGTTGAACCATAGTCTTATTATGAAGTCATTTCACTCCCGGTTTGGATTAAAACCATGTAAGAGGAAATACAAGCCTTAGAAAACAATGGTACTTGGTCTGTAGTGTTTTTGCCTCAAGGAGTGACTCTCATTGGTTGTAAATGGGTATTTAGAGTGAAATATAGAGCCGATGGCACAGTTGAGTGTTTTAAAGCATGTCTTATTGCTAAAGGTTACAATCAAAATGAGGATGTTGATTTTGTTGAAGCATTCTCTCCTATAGCAAAATTAGTTCATGTTAGGACTGTTCTTGCTCTTGCTGCTATGAATGATTGACCTCTTTTTCAAATGGACGTGCATAATGCTTTTCTGCAAGGTGATCTCTTTTAGGAGATATACATGAAGCTACCTAAAGGTTTTTGCAGCCAGGGGAGAATATGGTATGTCGGCTGTGAAAATCTCTCTATGGTTTGAAACAAGCTTCATGACTGTGGAATTTGAAGCTTAGTGAAGCATTGGTAGCTGCAGGATATCAGTAGATTAAGTTTGATTATTCGATGTTTACAAAAGAAGAGGGTGAAAGATTGGTGGTGATGCTCATTTATGTAGATGATCTCCTATTAACTGGTAATGATTTAGCTTTGATTAATGAGCTGAAAGAAATGTTAAATTGCAATTTTAAGATAAAAGTTCTAAGAGAACTGAAATATTTATTGGGGCTTGAGGTTTTGAGGTCAGAAGAAGGAACTGTGTTGAATCAGAGGAAATATGCTTTAGAATTGTTAAAGGAGACTGGTCTTAAAGGAGTTAAACCAACCTTGACTCCTTTAGAGTAGAATTTGAAACTTACCTCAACAGAATATGATGAACATTTGCAGCAAAAGGAAGATGAAGTATTGGTTGAAGAAAAGTTAACATTTTCAAAGGTTAATTGGAAGATTAATATACTTAGCACATACTCGACCATATATTACATTTGCAGTTCATCATCTGAGTCAGTTTATGCAACAACCAAAGAGAACACATTTAGAGGCAACATTGAGAATTGTCAAGTATTTAAAGAATGAACCAGGACAGGGGATATTATTAAAGAAATCAGGCAATAGTCAATTGATAGCATATTGTGATTCAGACTGGGCTTTATGTCCTATGTCACGTAAATTGATTACTGGTTTTTGCATAAAGTTAGGTGATTCTTTGATATCCTGGAAATCAAAGAAACAGAATACAGTAGCAAGATCCTCAACAAAAGTTGAATATCGAAGTATGGAAATTGTTGCAGCTGAAATAGTCTGGTTAAATGGTATTTTGAATGAGTTACAAACTGATGTTT